AACAGTCCCAAATTAATGACTACAAAGTAAAAATTGACATGAGAATTTCATCTGGACCCTCACTGATACAGTGAGTATGCAGCTGCTTTCCCACCTTCTCCTAGGTATCTAAAGTGCCTTCCTCTAGGAACCAAGGGCAAGTTTAAAACTTCAGCAAGTTGATGACTTTTAATCAATGCCCTCAAGCTTTAAGCATTACTCTAAGCATTTGCACATTAAGGTCCTCTTGTGAGAACCTGAATTCCCCATGTTTCACACCAGCTACTTGCCGGGTTTCTGTTCTCCGACTAAAAGGCTCAGGGGTCACTCTAGTTAAACTGAGCTAACTGGGCTGCACGAAATAACCACACAAGAGACACAAATACCTTTTTCTTTGGGGTCACTGTGACGGCTCCTCTGACCTTAAGGGTCCGCAGGAAGAGAGATCGAGAGCATGCGCTGACCCCTTTTATTGAGGAGAAGCTATTCAGATGAGGCAAGGGGTCAGGTTTCAGGGGGCTGAGTCTATCTTCATGATGTCCACTGTCAGCAGGTTGACTGACACCTGGGTAGGGCCACACCCAAGGGAACAGTAAGAGAAGGGGACACACGGAAGGCACTTCCATGGAAAATTCTATCCTAAACAGGGCAAGGGGTTATATTACAAAGGAACAGGTGAGCGTAGTTTCACCCATGGGGCTGTAGCAAGACACACCCATGCACCAGACACCGACCCTCGCACCCAAGAAGGGTGAGGAAAGCTCTGCCACGTTTTTGCAACTGAGTGCCTCAGCACCCAGCCAGGGAGTGTAACCCAGTCACATGTAAGGTTGGTCTCCCACAGCTACTGATACCCTGCTATTGATATTTGCTCCTTACTTGCAACCTCTTCTTTGGTCACCTCAAAATTTTGCTATGCTACACAGTGACCTTTTCTTTTATTGGGATCTCAAAATTTTATACATTCATTTTTCCAAGAATGTTCTCATCTAATTATTCTTTTTCAAGTTCCCCTGTACTCAAGCCCCTCGTTGGGCACCACTTGCTGCGACCTGCACAGCAACAACGAAGGATCTCGAGTAGGGGTGACCTGAGATCAAGAAAAACACAGACATTTTTAAGGAAAACTGGGACCAGGTGGGATACTGCCCTCCAATGGAGGAACAGTGACCCCGGAACTAGCTCAGCAGGTTTATTATATAGGGTCTCATAACCAGGAATTTTCACTAGAGAGGCTTTGTAGATTGTTCAAGGCTTGTGAGTTTTCAAGAGGCTTCTTTGTGCACTAAAAACTTAGAAACATTTTTGTGGCTAGCCTGCTGTACCGAGAAACCCCATTGTACTGGAATGTCTGAAAACTACTGACGTCAGAGCTGAGTATCAAGGCTGTTTGCACCCTGGCCTTTTGGCAAGGAATGTTTCCCAGGCTTGGGCTTTTATCTGCACTGCAGGATCAGCTGATGGCCAGGGCCCATTCACTCTCCATACAGGCTACCTTCCCTGGCTAGCTGGGACTTATTAAATAAAATATATGCCTTTATCTCTCAGCACATCATTTGTCAGATTATTTTATATATTTAATCTGGATTGAATCTATGACCATTGTACTTACCAATGAACTTTTTCTTGTAATTTATCCTTTTGTCTGTGTCCTTAGCAGTGGTTTGCAGTATCTATGACCGTTTGACTTCATGGGGTACTTACTCTATATGTGGTAGGTCCAGTCACAGGGGTCATAAATGTCCCCATGGGAAATGAGAGGAGAGAGCCCAGCCTGAGTTCCTTGTTCCCTGGAGCAGATGCCTGATGCTGCCACCTTTGAGATTCAAAGCCCATGGGCCCCAATCTCTTCAAATGATTTGATTCTGTTCTGTCTGTTGTCCAGGAAAATGGTTCTCCTATATGAACCTAGATATGAAATGTGGATTGTGATCTTTGTCAGTTCTGTGGTTGAGGCAGAGACTATCTTAACTAGGTCTCTCTCAAAGCTTTTCTTTCTTCCCTGTTTATGTTTCCCTGGGCTGTCAGCGTTGAGACCATAAATCTCCCATTTCAGAATCCATTGCTACTGCAGGTGTGGCTCTGCTGGGTGACCCATGCTACCCACTTCACTGCAGCGGTTCACAGAGACTTTTGTGTCCACTGGGAAGAACTGCACACAGGTCTGTAATACTAACACACATGGACCTGTAATGCTGTCAGCTGTGGATTGTTACTATTTTAGTTCCAAAAATGATTTTATAACTTGATCAAGAGCAATATTTTTACTTCAGAGTTCTACTATCATGTATTATTCTCATTGTTGTAGGTCACACCGTTGTCTTTGACTTCCTTCGCCAGCCTATTGAATGAATGTTTTGCAGATGCCTGTCTGTCTGTCCTAAACTGAAAAAGACAGCCACACTGCACACACATGGAGCAGCGAAGACCAATCAAAGCAGGCTCTTAATGCAACTATAGACTTTGCAAAATTATTGTTTAAAAATCTTCATAATAGCACCATTGTACTTCCTGAGCATGACACATCGAGAGTTGGTCTTTTATGTTGGTGAAATAGTGTTGCTGGGTCTTTCCTCCCTGTCTACTAGTGTGTGCAAGTTCACATTAATGCTGTGCTCAATGTCACACCAGGACACCCAGGTGATTCCACTGTAGGTGGTTAATAGTATGAGGGCCGTGCTGTTTCCTCATCTAGGTTTCTAACAGGATGCCCGGCTGGTCTCTGTTGGATGAACTAAGGAGGATTCTTTAGCTTCTTCTGGACCTGGCTTTTGTATTCTGCACCCCCCCGCCCCCCCCCCCCCCAGTGCTATGGTTCCAGGTGTGAAGGGAGGCTGAACCTGCCTGCTTTGGAAGGCAGCACTCTTCCTGAAGTGGGAGTGGTCCTTCTTTTTAAAAGCCAACATATAGGCCCAAGGTAGATACACAAAAGTGGGGAAGAGCTATAGGGGAGTTAGTGGGGACCAAGGATTAGGGAGTTGGAACATTAATAAGCACAGCAATTAATTTGGGGTTAAAAGAATAAAAAGCTTTGCTCTTTCTAAAATTTTAAAACTTGAAAATGTTATGAAAAAGTCCATGAAACTTGGAGGAAGAATAATGTGAATGTTATTAGTCCCTTCATACCACAGCAAGAATTTTTTTCTTTTTGACCTTACCTGAGATTGGATCCATTGGATGGAATCATTTAGAATCCTCAAGAATGCTGAACATGTAAAGATAGATGCATTCAAACTATTTTACTGCATTATGTGTATTAGAATATTTAAGTCTTTGTTATTGTGATTTTTGTCTTGGGGAGAGTTCACTGGTGATTTCGTCATTATGTGTGAGCACTAGATGGCAGTGTGGATTTTTAAGATTAGGCCCAGAGCAACAAATTTCAAATAATTAAAAAAAAAAAAAAAAATTCATTTTTTTAGTTGTAGTTGGACACAATACCTTCATTTATTTATTTTTATGTGGTGCCTCAGCCTAACCCTAACCCAGGATCCAACCTAGGGCCCCGCACGTGCTAGGCGAGCGCTCCACCGCAGAGCCACGACGACCCCAGCCCTCAAGTAAATTAACTGTGCTCCTGGTGCTATACTTGATACCTCTTATAACTGAAAGTTCATTCCCTTTGACCAATATTACCCCCTTCAATCTTCCCCACTCTTCAGCATCTGGTAACCACTGTTCTACTCCTTTACCTAGTCCTTTTTATTTTTTAATTTGTTTTGCTGAGGGTCTTCTCACTAAGTTGCTAAGGCTGGCCTTGAATTTTTGCTTCTCCTGCCTCAGCTTCCTGAGTCCCTTGAATTACAGAATTACTGATTACAGGGGTGAACTACCACACTTGACTATTGGGACTTATTTTATGACCTCAAATTTACTGGAGCAGAAACTCGTGTGCAAAAATATCTGCAAGAACCAGTGCCTGTGTAGGTAAACCTAAATTGCAATCCATGAATTTCTGGAGGCTTGGTATGGACAGATAATATCAATTATTGAGATTGCCTTATTCTTTATTATCTCCTTCAGATTTGAGTCCAAATATGCTTCTCCCATTAAAACTTTGAAGTGCGGGCTAGGGAGCCTCTGGACCGAGGCGCCCCAGTCTCCCACCTGGCAGTTGCCCGCGATCCCGTCGCCCGCTCTGCCTCCCCGCAGTTTCCTACTTCCCGGCACCCAAACTCCGACTCACTAGAAAACACTCAGCCTTGCCCCGCCGCACTCCTCCAGGCCCAAGCTCGAGGCTGCCGGCCCCCGTCCCTTCGCCCACCCGGTCCACACAGCCCCGCCGGAGCCCGGGAGAAGGGCCTCCGTATTGCGCACGTCCTCGCGAGCCGGGCCGGACTGCTGACCCTCTCAGGGCCGGGCAGGCCCACGGAGGCCCAGATGGGCAACTGCTGGGAGTCCGGCCCGCCGCCCGCGCACACGCCGCTCCCGCAGCCTTCAAGGCCCTGCAGATCTAGCGGCCCGGGCCGCGCCCCGTCCGCCCGCGTCCCGTCCGCCCGCGCCCGCCAGTCTTCCAGAGCCTCGGGGAGGCCGGGGTAGGGGCGCCGCGGCGGAGCAAGGGCGGCGCCTGAAGGACTCTAGGGCGGCGTGGGTTAGGAGCCCGGGCCCCGCCCTGCACTGTTTCCCTCCAGGTGCCGGGCGCTGACCAGACCTGGCAGAGGTGAAAGCCGGGCCCAGGGTTCCCCTCACCGAGACAGGCGCTGGGGGTCTGCACTGCTAACTGACAGGGCCGTGCTAGTGCAGGGAGAGCTGGCTCTGCGGGGGGCGGGGCGGGGCGAAGGCGAGCACGTGGGCGTGCATGGGGCGGGGCTTAGACGGGGACGCGGGTGTGCAGAGCCGCGGGAGCCGTGAGGTGGGGCGTGGAGCGGGCGTGCAGTGGGGCGGGGCTGCGCGGCGTGGTGGGTGTGCGTGGAGGCGGGGCGAGAAGGTGGGTGTCCTGCGGGGCGGGGCCTGGAGCGGGGCCTGCCCTCGCCGTGACCTCTGGACTCCTGTGGCGTGCGACGCTGGAGTTGGCGGGCGGGTCGCACCGTGGGACCCTGTGGGAGCCGTGGGCGTCGGGGTGGGTGCTGGAGCTGAGGTGATTTCCGATCTGGTGGGTTGGACTCCCAAGAAAAACCTGACGTCTCAGGGATTCTTTCTCCGTTCGGGTTCCGCTCCGCGCGGCGCCGAGGAGGAATAATGGCTGCCACCTACCAGGTAGCTGGGCCTTTTCTGGCTTTCTTTATTGTGGCTGTCGATTTTTCTGTTTTGATTTGCTTGCTTGCTTAAAAGTCTTGCCCGATTTACCCTGGAGTTAAGTGGGACCGAGTGACCCGATTTCTAGTGTTTACTGTGGGGAACGATGTTCGGGGGGTGAAGGCCCCGTGCATCGCACCCGACCCCAGCGTTCCACCATAATTTGACCAGAGTTTGGGATTTAGCCTCTCGTCTTTTCAGTTTATTGATTTTTATTATAAAATTATATTGTCTTTTTCGAGGATTTGGAAAATACACAACATAACAAAGAAGAATGTTAGAATTCCAGTCTCCAAACGATCACCATTAATATTTTGATGTAGTTTTATTTCATTCTAGTGTGTATACTTATACTATTTTTATGGTTTTATAATCAACAGTATTGTTTAAATTTACATTGTAACTTTGTCTTTAAATACTTAATGAAATCAACGTTTTCATAGTCACATAATATTTCTTTGTGCAATGATTTTTTTTTTTTTTTGCTTTCATTATAAAACATATGGAGAATTTACTAAGAAATACAGAGTAGGGCTGGGGCTCTAGCTTAGTGGTAGAGCACCTCTTGCACTCCTGAGCCCCTGGGTTCGATCCTCAGCACCACATAAAAATAAACAAACAAATAAATAAATAAAATAAAAAAGAAATACAGAGCACACTCCGGTAACCATTGGCCCTGGCAATACAGAAGACTGCAAACACTTCAGTAACCCAATCAAGACCCTTCTTCCCTCTGACACGTTTTATGATAATCAGTTTTTTCATTATAGTTTTACCTACCAAGTTTGCATCAATAAATGATAACATGTGTTTTTACTTTTTGTTAACTTTATGATATGCCTCAGTAAATGATACCATTTATTCTTTTTGTTAACTTTATGTAACCGTTTCTATCCTTTCATATTATGCTACTTTTAACATTATAATTAAATCTGGTTTTTTTTTTTCATTTTGTTGAGTAGCATACCCTTACATGAAATCAGTTAATTTATATGTCCTTTACATTGTTGATGATTACTTGCCCCCCCCTCCCAATTTTGGGCTATTCCATATAATGCTGCTAGAACATTTTTGCACATAACTAGCAATGAACAGGAATTCACATTTCTCTAGGATTATACATTTAGGATGGAATTGCTGGGTAATAGAATATGCCTGCCTGTTTCAGCTTTTTTTAATTTAATTGCCAAGTACTTCAAATAGTTGTGCCACTTTGCAGCTTTCCTAGCAGTAAACAGTTTCCTTGACTCTTAATTCCTTGTTTCTACATCAGTATGTATTATTATTCCTTCATCTTGGTTTCCTTTAAGTTTTTATTGAATACTAACAAAAGTAGAAAAAAAGTGCAAGTATATGAATGTGTGGTGAATTTTCACTAACCTGATTCCTGGTAACATCACTCAGATCAAGTAAGAGAAAATTACTGCATGGTGCAATGAGACAGATATTATTACTCTCTTTACATGTATGATTATACTACAGGTGTGACTGCATCACAGCCAGAGGAATGAAAAGTTGTGCTCCGTTTGTGTACAGTTTGTCAAAATAATTCAGCTGTCATGTATTACTAATTGGAGCAAATTTTAAAATTAAAAAAAAGGGGAAAATTACCAAATTTCATTCCTACTTCTACTTTCCCACCACTTTTCCCTGCCCCGCAAGGGTAACTTGTTCTGACTTCTACCATTAAATTGGTTTCTGAACTTCATATAAATAGAATCAAGTAGTGTATGCTCTTTTGTGTCTGGTTCCTTTATGTCTATATTTTGTTTCAGCATCATTCATGTTGCTGTATTTACTTGAAATTCACACATCTTCCTTGCTGTGTGTTATTGTTTGAAAATATCATGCTCTGTTCATTTTGTTTGTTTGTTTTTTGTTTGCAGTGCTAGAGATTGAACCCAGGGCCTCACCATGCTGGGTGAGGGTTCAGCAGGTATGGGCTGTCCAGTTCTGATGTTGGCAGTCATTTGGATTTCCATTCTTTGGTTATTGTAAGCATCTTTTTAGAGATTGGAAAATATACAAACTAACAAAGATTGTTAAAAATCCCAATCTGTAAGCAACTACTGTTAATATTTTGAACAATGTTTCATTTGATCAATATTATACATTTTAGAATCAGTGTGTCAATTTCTATTTAAAAATCCTGCAGCCAGGCACAGTAGCAAGGCCTGCAATCTCAGCAACTGGGGAGGCTGAGGCAGGAGAATCACAAATTCAAAGACAGCCTGGGCAACTTAGTGAGATCCTATCTAAAAAAAAAAAATAATAATAAGAAAAGGGCTGAGATATAGCTCAGTGGTAGAGCATCCCCCCCAAAAAAAAATCTTCCAGGGATTCTGTTTGGGTTATGGGGGAAACCTTACTCATGGTACTGTGGCACAGCCAAGTGGTTAATTCAACCACTGTCACAGAAGTTGAATTAACACATTATCACAGCTGCTGATTTGAGACTGTGGAAGAAGAAATTAATGAAGTAAGCAGAGTAAAGCCCCTCTCCCCTAGAATATATGTCCAGTAGCCAAAGGGGGGGGACAATAATTTTTTCTAAATGATAGATGTATGAACTAAACCTGGATATGGGGAGAGAAAGTAGAGAACTAAAACAGAAGTTCACAAACAGAAGCCCAATGGAAACTAAACACACTAAAAGAATTTATACAACAAAAAAAGATGAAAATATGTAGCTTTTGCACTTTCACAACAAAGTTAACTTTTAATATTTATCACAATGCACAGAAAAAATTGGCAAATCTGTGGGACTGAAAATCAATATTGGAGCTCAAACTATAGTCATACTTGGAATTGCTTCAAAATTAAACAAGGTACTCCCTATAATTGTAAGGGAGTCACTGAATACAAAATAGAGAAGAGGCATGCCTCACTTAACCATAGATGTATTTGTTTTATAAATTCCTCACAGTCTTAGCACCCATTGCCCCAAAACATACCATAACAGGCATGGGTGCTCCAACCTAGTAAGCTGTAAATTAAAATCAAGTCTGGCATTTACATTATTAGTCTTAGCAAAATGGCGTCCTGTGGACCTTTACCTCCAGTTAAAATAGTTAATGTGGTTATATTTGTTTCTGATTATTTCTGTAATTACTACAAACATTGGCTTAAAAGACAAAATTTTTTATCTTCTACTTGTGGAGATCAGAATTCCCATGTGACTTTCAGTGTATCCACAGTCTCATGCCCTCTGGAGGCTGTATGGGCGGGTCTGTCTCCTTGCCTTTACCATCTTCTAGAGGCCGCTCATATTCCTTGGCTTACTGCCTCATTCTCCTGGCCAGCAGCATAGCATCTTGAAGTCTTCCCCTGACTCTGACCATTCTTTCTTTCTCTTGACTAAAAGGCCTAACAATCACATTGTGCCCACCTATATAACCCACATAATCTCCATCCCAACAGCCTTAATTTTATCACATCTAGAAAAGTCCCTTTACTAAGTAACATTTTCATAGTTTCCAGGGACTAGGGAATGGATGTCTTTAAGGGGCCATTATTCTCTGCCTATCACAGTGACCTGATATAAATTAAAATAGGGCTTTTAAAGATTGAGGCCTAATATCTAAGACCTATTTGGAGGAGGGGTGTTTACCTCCAGTACTCTGCCCTTTAACTGCATAATTTGACTTCTTATTAATCTTGGAAAGTAGAAATGGTGCCTCATGGTGGATCCTACAAACCTAATGCTGTGGTCCCATCCATTTAAGCCCCCAGACCCAATATTATAAAAATTACTTACTCCATTCAGGCAGTGACTGGTAAATATTTCAGTATTACAGATTTGTCCAATAAATTCTGATTGGTGCCTATTTCAGCAGCCACTAAGTCACAGTTTGTCTTTACCTCAGAAAGGGCATGACACATCTTATCACAGTACCTGGAGTTTATTGCCATGTTTTTAAAAGAAACTCATCATGTGTGTCAGTTTTTCTAGTAATACATCAATACTGTCATATGCCTATTAATGACATTTTCCTCATGGACACATACATTAATTCTTTTGCTTTTCTTCTAAAACGTGCCTTTTAAAGCCTTTTGGGATGACCCAAAGTGGTTTGACTAACTGATGTTTGGCTGTTACAGGATTTTAATCTGAGATTCACTTTTACATATTATACTAGGTCTTTGATTCAGTAACCCCAGTGACACTTCCTCTTTGGGGAATGGAAGATCTTTTGTCTTCTCATTCTTGTTTCACCTCCTTGTGATGATGGAACTAGTATTCCAACAGCTCTCCAAGAAGGGGGTACATATCATTTAGTCTGTACATATCTAGAAATGTCTTTATTCAACATGCTCACAAGGTTGATGGTTTGGGCATGGGATATTAGAAGAGTTGCTCCTCTGTCTGCCTTTCTATAGGAGTCTCTTAGGAAGCCCCTTGCCATGCCACCTCTGCATCTATTATTGAACCTGTTTTTCTCCCTGGGAGTTTTAGGTTTTTGTTTTTATACCAGGTATTATTTTTTTAATATTTATTTATTTATTTAGATGTAGTTGCACATGATACCTTTATTTATATGTGATGCTGAGGATCGAACCCAGGGCCTTGCACTTGCTAGGCAAGTGCTCTACCACTGAGCCACAACCCCAGCCCCTATACCAGGTATTATAAAAACTTTATTTTTGATGTAATTTTGTAAAGAATCTCAGAATTTGTCCTTTCTAAGGCATCGAGAAAGAAGGGAAAAGAAATACTTATTAGAACTTATTTTGCCACGAATTTTGTTGGGTTGCCTGCACATATGCTACTTTTTTTGTTATATGAGATTCCACAGTTTGATTTTGCACATACTGAGACATGTCTGGATTGTGTAAATACCCATTTGTAAAAAAATTGCTTGGAGAAATGGAATGTTTGAGGACCCGAAAACCTGCTTCAGTCACTCATTTCCTTAGATTCCCCCATCTCCAGATTTTTGTCACATAATAGTTCCCCATTTCATTCTGCTTGTCTTACTTCTCTGTGCACACTGTTGCCTTCTGCCTCTTCATGTTTGCCGTTTCAGAGGGTGGTGGTGTTCAGTGATGTTACTGTAGACTTCTCCCAAGAGGAGTGGGAATACCTGGACTCTGTGCAAAGAGTTTTATACAGAGATGTGATGCTGGAGAACTACAGCAACCTGGTGTCAGTGGGTAAGGCTATCTGCCCCACAGATTTCAATATCTGTTAGGAATGTCTGCTTTCTACATTGTGAATTATTTAGCTGCCTTTAAAATAACTCTGAATTTGTGCTTTCCACTCACAGAGTTTGAACTTTGTGGAGATGGAAATAGGTGGCTTCATTACAGTGGAAATTTTTCTGGTTTTCTGTGTCTCTTCCTATAATTTCACTTATTTCTTTAACAAATGACTAGAAATGAATTCTGGGACATCCCAGCATAACTGTTTTTTTTTCCTGTAAACAGGACTTTCTATTTCTAAACCAGCTGTGATCACCTTATTGGAGCAAGGGCATGAGCCCTGGACAGATGGTCCAGTGCCAGCTAAAAGCCAGTCCTTACATAAGTGGCAGAAATCAAGAGTGTTGAAGAAGAGCAGTACAGGTGGTAATCCATCTATCTGTGAGGAGGTGACACCTTTGAGTCTGGAAGGTGAGCCTTGTAGACCTTGATCTATGGATCACTTTTACTTTTTTAACCAACCAGTCTTCTTTTACTCCCTTGAAAATTATTGCATCTACATTTGTATTTAAGTATTTTCTTAGCTACTGGAGGAATACAAAAAGGTACTCCTCCAAGTCACCAGTAGACGGCGCCTTTTCTCCTAGGACCAAATTTAGAATCACCTCAAGTGCTTCTTAGCTCTTGGTGGCTATGGGGCAGATTCCAGAAGAAAGGCCTCAGACATAGTAAGATAGTTCTACATTGATTGATGCCAGTAGCCCTGGAAGTTCATGCCTGGAATTCTCCTGGACCCTTCTGTGTGTGTGTGTGTGTGTGTGTGTGCGCGCGCGCGTGTGCACGTGTGTTGAGTTTAATCTGTATAATTTCTCTGTAATAAACTGAATCCATGAGTATAACTGTTCTGAGTCCTGAGTCATTCTAGTGAATCACTTATCTTAAGGTCTTGCAGACCTCCTGAATGTACAGCCCTATTCCTTTTGTGCAAAAAGGAAAAAGTTAACTCATTCTGTGATTACATAATAAGAAATGTAAAATATCTAGCGTATAAATAAATAGCCCTTCTATGGTTGCTGTTATGATGGAAGAATTTCTTACCTCAATTAGGTTGAAATGAGCAAAAGGTGTGGGTAAAGACTTTAACATGTATTCTGAGGTGTGCCTAATCCCAGCTACATGGAAGGCTGAGATAGGGAACCACAAGTTTGAAGCCAATCTGAGCAACATAGCTAAACTCTATCTCAAAAAAAAAAATAATAATAAAATGGACTACGAGAAAACTAGAGAAAAATACTCTAAGAACTCCAGAAGTCTATATAATGATTCCTATGAAACTGTTGCTGAATGCTAAAGCAAACATACATAGAATTAAGCCACATCAAGGCCAGCCAAAGAATGGCAGCAAGCTGTAATCTGAACAGTTCCAGAAGATAGCATAGAAATGAGAACCAGAATGTGCACTCCCTAGTATAGAATTAAAGTATTCTATAGAAAAATCTATCCTAGCCCTACCCTAACAGAGCTTAATAAAATCCATGAAAGGATCAAACATCCTTAAATCACCTGTCTACTAGAACAGAATACAAAAATCTTTGATAAAAATTAGCAAAGTTGGGCTGGGGTTGTAGCTCAGTGAGTGGTACAGTGCTTGCCTCGCATGTGTGAGGCACTAGGTTCGATCCTCAACACCACATAAAAATAAATAAATAAGATACTGTGTCCACCTACAACTAAAAAAAAATTAGCAAAGTTAAGCATTTGACAATATAATATTCTCGATTTCTAGCATTCAATTATAAAACACTAGATGTTGAAAAAGAAGGAAAATAGCATAAATAGTCAAAATAGTCAACAGAAGTGACAGATGGAATTAGCAGACAGAATGTTAGAACAACTCTTCTAAATATGTGTAATAAGTTAATGGATTTAGGGGAACCCCTCCATGTAATGGCAAGAGACTGGAGAGACTACCTGCAAACAGAGCAATAAGAACTTGTTTTATTCTCTTGCATCTCAAAATTTTAAAGTACATGCAACAGTAGTTTTTCAGGAACATGTCTGGATTCCAAGGAATAAAGACAGTGATTCTCGACAGACAGGAAACCAATAAGGCACTGTGATTGCCCCATCTTGCTTTGTTGAGAGAGTGAGTCTTAGGATGCAGCTCAGAGAAGTTGGAAGAGCCCAACAAATTCCATGAGTAGAGAAGACGGAGCTGAGTCCAGGGTGATCAGGCAGCACATGTTCAGAGGAGCACAAAAGGATGAGCTGCAGAGTGAGGGAAGACTAAAGATCTGCAGAAGGGCTCCTTTGAGAGTTCAACAGATTACTGGTAAGCAGATGGGGAAATACCTGAGGCTTCCAGAACCATTTGGAAGGACTAGAAGGACCTATGCCCAGCACTCACACAGCCAGGAAAATACCTGCTCCCACTATCCAGACAGACTGAAAAGCCTTACAACTTTTCATGCACTGATGAGACTGCTCCACAGTGTCTTACCTCAACTGTCAGGCCATGGAACTACTCTAAAAGAAAGATCTAAAAGGATCAGGTGACAACTTTCAAGTAATTTAATGATCTCAAAGCTTATTTAAAGGAATACAAAATCTAGTACTCAACAAGACAATTCACAATGCCTCATGTTCAATACAAGATTACTGTGTATGCCAAGATAGAAAAAGGATCCATAATGAGGACAATTTTTGTTAAAACCAACCAAGAAATGGTAAATATTAGAAGACATTTTTAAAGTTATAACTATATTCCAAGTGTTCAAAAGTTGAGCCAGACGTAGAACATCCTTTTAAGCACCCATATTGTTTCTAGAGTAGAAAAACAAAAAGCCTGCATTGGGTTGTACAGTGGATTCAATATTTCATGTTCAGAAAAGGTTGGTGAACTGGAAAGCAGCAACTGAAATGCAAAAGAGGAATGAGTGGATGTGACTTTTGGAATAACTTAGGCAACCTAATATACAAGTGTTTGGAGTATACTCCAAAGAGAACTGGCAGCAGAAAAAATATAAGAATGACCGAAAATTTGACAAAACAGATCCACAAGCTTCAAAGAACTTCAAATATAAGAAGCACACATATTTAAAGACTGTAAGACATAATCAAATAGCTCAAAGACTGTGTGAGCATCTCAGGTTTCATGATTTTTATGATCTTTAATCACATGGGCAGTTTCAATTATGGAAGCTAGTGTTTCTCAGTTGGTGTATACTGTACTTCAAGATCTGGAAATCTCATCTAAAATCAGTTGCTGCAAGGTGGTATTCATTGACTTTTATAATAGGCCCATCTATGTTCCACACAGAGGGGTTAGAGAACTTCCAAGCTTCTAACAAAGTCATTAAACTGGTAATCACTTTTTGTCCACAAAGTATTCTATCCTGTCAAATCAACCTGTATGAACTTGGACAGTTCTGTTGGTTCCCATTTAGCATATGCAATCCGTAGTGTTTAAATATTGAATTTATAGTTTCACAATACTAGGTAGTGCATTCCCAGTCAGATATAATGTCTAGTCATTTAATATATTTAGGTAAAGAAAATGTAAAGTCTGTTCATTCCAATTCTTATCCATGTTTCAGCAGTTCCACCAGTGGCTCTCATATCCTTACACTCTAACTCTGTCCCCCAATAGGGTTTCTCTAGTGGATGTTTGAATCATTCTGTTTTGTGTTTCCATGTCAAGGAGTTCCAAAAAGTTTCTTCCTCACCTCTTGGTCAATTTGTGTTTGTGCATTATGAGTACATAAAGCCTTTGTATTCCTAGCTGGGGGTTGGGCTGAGGGACCCTGACTCTTTCATCAATCTTTACCCTGTTGAGTCTGATCACACCATAATTTGATATATGTATGCATCACACAATGATTGTGCCTTGCAGCATTTTAAGTTCTTCTTGAATAATAAATAGCCCAAGTTTTGTGTATCACCCATCAGTGTTGAAGGACCAACACAGACTCCTACTGATCCACCTTCCTTCCAGTAGTATTGTACTGAGACGTTTGTTTGCTTTTCATCAATGTCCACCTTATTCATCCCATTTCTTAATTTAAAGACGAGTGTGGGTGTAACTCAGTGGTAGAGCACTTGCTTAGCATGCATAAGGCCCTGGGTTCCATCCCTAGTGCATGCGTGCATGTGCGCGCGCGCGCACACACACACACACACACACACACACAAAAAAAAAAACCTTTAAAGATTTCTACCCTGTTTGATGAGTCTCTTGAATCTCCCCTTTATATTTCTGTCTTTCTCCATTCTCTTGCACCTTACTCTAATTTCCATAACTGTTTCAGCATAATTTTTTCCTTTGGTAGCATCCCTGTGGCTATAGCTCAGAATAGATGAAATGCAAGCTCGGCCCAGATTCTAGATCACAATAACAAAGGCATTTATTTTGTAGTTTGCTTATTTCATTTTAATTTGCTTTTCTTAATGTGTCTAGGGAGCCATCTAAGAACACAACATCATTTAAAATATTGTGATTAAATTACACAGCCTTTGGCTGTTAGGGCTGTGAACTACATTGGCAGGCAAGAGAAAAAAGAGAAGTCTGGTTGCATGTCCTACTGCTTAAAAAGCAGTCCACTTAGGTCAGCAAGTATGTGAAGGCCTTGGCTGCTCTGCCTGTGGCCCCAGCCCAGAGTGCAAGACAATTGTCTACTATTCAGGTATAGGTTAGAACTGCCAAATGTATTGTTTAAAGGCATGTAGAAAAATCTCATCTATGTGAAAGTCACTGCCATAAAGGTTCTGTTTATAGAATAAAGAGTAAATGTCATGTCATCAAAATTAAGAGAAGCTCAGGTGCCTTTTATAAAAAGCAACCTTTTGAAATTTAAAAACTTAAGTAGACTTGCTTGGTTGACAGAGAAGTTATAAGACAGCTCAAGAGCTTTCAGGCCTAAGACAAAGCTATGTTGCTTAGATGTTAAAATCTTGTAGTGGATTGTGCAATTGCTGGGTTGCCACCTAAAATATTTTAATGTAATCTATTGAAAACGATTTTACCAAACTGTAAGTATTAAAAAGTATATGGGCAAAAAAAAAAGTAAGTAGTGAACCAATTCATCAGGAAGTGGATCTGTTATTTCTGAAGTTCACTGATAACTTTTTACTTCTAATAACCAGCTGAGCATGAGTAACTACGATTCCAGTTTTGGATTAACTAGTTACTGAGAATCCAAATTTTGTCAACTGCTCTTTCAACCTTCCTTGTCCCAAGCCATGATTTCACCATGTGTCAGTGAGCCAGGATCATTTTAGCAACCCCACCTTTTGATACCAGCTGTAGTTTTTGAGATTACCAAGCCCACTCTTAGATTCAGGAGTTTACTAGATGTATTATCAGATTGCTTGAAGCTGTTTTAACCACATTCATGGTTTATTACACTGGAAGAATAGAGATTCAGATCAGCAAAGAAGGGGCACATAGGAGAGGGTCCAGGAATAATGTGGTATGAGCTATCATTTGTCCTTTTTCAGGGGAATCACATGGATAGCACTTTTTACTTTTTCTGAAACAATATGTGGCAATACACATGGAATACTGTCAACCAAAGCTTTTGTGTCCAAGGTTTTCATTAGATGTTAACAGACTATTTTATGTAACTTAAGCTCTGAGTTACTCCATGCTGCATAGAACGGAAGTTTTCAGGCTGTGCCTAAGCCTTTGTTACTCCATTTTGTAAAGCAATAGTTTGCTATAAGGTGCTCTGTTTTGTGTTTAAGGGCTGAGGTGTAATGATTCCACACCTTGTTTGTACAAATAGATAACCACTATCTACCTGCCATAACCATAGGCATAAGCTGATAAATAAATTGTGCTAGTAAGGATAGCCACCTGTACTTGGGTGCAGTGGCACATGCTTATAATCCCAGCAGCTCAGGAGGATGAGGCAGGAGGATCACAAGTTCAAAGCCAGCTTCAGCAAAAGTGAGTGCTAAGCAACTCATTGAGACCTTGTCTCTAAATGAAATACAAAATAGGGCTGGGGATGTAGCTCAATGGTCAATCCCCAGTACCCCCTGCCCCCCAAAAATGACCACCTCTGAACTTATAAAATTAATCAGAAGCACATGGATACATGCGCATATGAAACTCACATCAGACAAAACATGAGCTCATCAAACATGCCAGACCACCAAACGATGCTACCCACTCACTCAAGACCCATAAAAGAAGGAGCATCCCAAGACAGGACAGAGTGGCTTCCTGACCCCATTCAGCCATAAATAAAATGAAATTATGTCATTTGCAGGAAAATGGGTGGAACTAGAAACCATCATGTTGAGCAAAATAAGTCAAACTCAAAAGGTCAAGGATCATAGGTTTTCTCTCATATGCAGAAGCTAAAGAGGAAAAAGGAAAAGAAGGTGGTATAGATCTCCTAAAAATCAAAGGGAGTTCAGTAGAGGAAAGGGACTAGGGGGTTAGAGGGAGGGCAGGAACGGGAAAATGCCAGAAGTGATACTGGCCAAATCATATTGTTATATTGTGTGCATGTACAAATATGTAACAACAAATCCCAACATTATGTACATCTGCAATGTACCAATAAAAAATGTGGAAAACAAGACATACCACCTCCACCTATTAAACTAAGAAAAAATAATAAAAGCAAAACCTATAAATCTAAAAAAAAAGAAATTAAGATTGGAACAAATGAAATTGTGATTGCCCAGTTTATGACTATCAGGTGATCCACAATTTTCAGTGAACTGCCACTGATGAAAGTGGTGTACCTGAGAATTTATTATTCTTCAGTAAAATCTGAAAATGTGGAAAGAAACAAACGTGTTTGGTCTATATTAATGACGTAGCATGCTCATGACACTAGGTAAATATAATATTGTCAGGGAGGACATATTCAAGCCTTAAGAGTTTCTCTACCAAGTGGCTGGCAAGGGTCAAACCTTTATTCAGGCTAGGTTAATCCTTTACTGCAGAGGATCTCAGAGTGACTCAGTGATTTGTCTCCAAATTTAAGCTTGTATTTTAGTGCTGGGATATAAAACAACCCAATTTTAATATTCTTACTATACCACATCACCCATTTTATTTTGTCCCACTTATCTGAACTTACAGATTTCTCCCACCATCTGTCACCAATGTAGCCATTGCTCCACAAATAATGTTTCATGGAATTCTTAAAGAAAAAAAAGCATTTTCAAGAAATTCACATATTTTGAAGTCCAACCATGGCAGTCTTCCCTAAGTCCATCCATTCCTGCATGACTCATTTGATGGTTTCCCTTAGGTTATAATCAGTCTGGATTTCTACCTTTTATCAGCCTAACTTCAGATCATTTCCAATATATTATTTATTAGCAAGCTTTCTGTCCTTTCACCTCAGAAATATCCTCTGGTTTTACTTATTTAATTCATGTCATAGGTATGATATTCCTCTCCTTTTTATAATACACATGTATGGTAATATATTATAAAAATGTATAACCAAGCAAGCCTTCCTTCAATTTGGATGATCATGTAGGACAATAAATATTTGTCAATCCTCCCAAATAATTCAGTCATACAAATGTTTGAGAATCATTGACAATCTCTTATTCATTTCTTTCATCTTCCTATATGGATTTATTCATTCTTTGAAAGGCACAGCTCTAGTCAGTAGTGCCTTACTATTCACTATTAGTTTATTTGAAAAGATTTTTTGTTTCTATCTTTCCAACCATAGAAGTTTTATTTCTCCCAAATTAAGAGAGGAGCAAATGTTTTATTTTTATTTCATTTCAGATCAACCATTGAAGTCTGCATCCAAGAATCAACCTTTAAAGGGAAAAATTAGTAATGTAAAATCATTCCCATTAGAGTTCATGGAAGGAATGATAAGGCCATGCTCAAGTGTCCAAGATATTTGGGAATGTAAAGACCAGTTTGAGGGACCATATTCTTATCAAGAAGCACATTTCAGCAAAGTAATAATCACCCGTGAAGATGTACCTGCTTTTGATCAGCGGGTATCTCTTACTCTATACCACAGATCTGGAAATGAGGAGAAACCATATTACTGTAAGGAATGTGGGAAGGCTTTTAGTCGTGGATCACAACTTACTCAACACCAGAGAACTCACAGTGGTGAGAAACCCTATGACTGTAGGGACTGTGGGAAGGCCTTCAGTTGTAGTTCAGCACTTTCAAGACATCAGAAAACTCACACTAGTGAGAAACCCTATGAGTGTAAGGAATGTGGTCAGTCCTTTAGTTGTGGCCCATATCTTCTGCGACATCAGAGGATTCACACTGGTGAGAAACCTTATGAATGTAGACAATGTGGGAAGGCTTTTAGTTGGATGTCATATTTTTCTCAACATCAAAGAATCCATACTGGTGAAAAACCCTATGAATGTAAGCAGTGTGGAAAAGCATTTTGTTGGAAGTCCTATCTTACAAAACATCAGAGAATCCATACTGCTGAGAAATTCTATGAATGTAAGGAATGTGGGAAGGCCTTTAATAAGACCTCAAAACTTGTTCAACATCAGAGAATTCACATTGGAGAGAAGCCCTATGAATGCAAAGAATGTGGAAAAGCCTTTATTAGGAGCTCAAGCCTCATTCAGCATCAGAGAATTCACACTGGTGAAAAACCCTATGAATGCAAGGAATGTGGAAAGACCTTTAGTTGTAACTCATACCTTTCTCAACACCAGAGATTTCACACTGGTAGGAGACCCTATGAATGTAAAGAATGTGGAAAGACCTTTAGTTACCACTCAAACTTCACCATACATAAGAAAATGCATACAGGTGAGAAACCCTATGAATGCAAGAACTGTGGCAAGGCCTTTACTAGGAGTTGGAACTTTATTCGACACCAGAGAATTCATAATGGTGATTAACTCTATGACTGGAAAAAAATACATACAGGATTTTTTGATGGTTCAGATTTTTTAAAACCTGAGAGTTAAAAAATAGTAGACCATCTTATAATGTAATTGTTAGGAAAAGCTACCAATGGCCTACAAAATTTACTAAGCCTCCCAAATTCCACACTTACAACCTTATTGTAAATATCAGAAAAGTTCTTATTTGAAAGTAACCATGTGAATTTATCTCCTTAAATCGACCATAGTTTATTCAGAATCAACTTTGCAACCATTTCAGATTTTACTATAAAAGTATGGATATGTCTAAATCAATAATTTAACCACAAATTCTTATTAATTTCTTTATTCCACATGTTTGCACTGCCTCCTGTTATTGACACATTATATTAATATTGACCTGTGTTTCAGGACCTTATTTGCCCTTACAGATACTCAAAGTATTTAAATATATAAATTTGATATTTTATATAACAGATTTATATCTGTTTGTTTTAAAAAGATGGACTTACTTTCCCTTTTATGAAAATATCATAAAATTTTATGTTATATAAAGAAGCACAAGGGAAAAATCTTTTATTTCTATCAAAAAATCCACTGTCAGTGGGATCCAATGATATGTGTTTATGAAATATTTACATGCCATAATAACATTTTTTACCTACCATTTCTGTGCCAAAGAAATTTTCCTGTCAGTATATAGATCTCCTATAACTGTTAATGGCTTCACTGGGTTCCCTATGATGCTGTATTTATCAAATACCTTTGATTGTTTGCCTCCAAGTTGGGAAGGTCATGAACAATGTCCTTTAAAAAATAAAAATTTTTCTAGACATATCTTTGTACATTTATCTGTTTTTTTTTCTTTTTTAGGAAAGTTTTTATTGCAAATAATACATAAACACAATTCTTGTGAAAAAAGATTTAAACATCAGAAATTCCTAAGTTCTTGTTTCATGCCTATCCTGATCCCTGTACACTTTCCAAATGTAAGCACTGTTATTAATCTTTAGGAATCAAAATCTTTTATCTATGTTTTAAAAACTGTTAATGTTTTATGATAGTATATTTATGCATTGTGAAATACAGGTGGAAATTCTACCTCATTGTGTGAGAATCAGTAAGTTTGTAAACCTAAAGTGCTTATTTGTTTTATAATAAATATTAGGCAAACGTTGGCCATCGGGATAATTATTTGTGGAATAGAATTTGTTGTATACCAGTTTACAGATTTCTTATGATGATTGTTGTACTATCGGTGTTATAAAAATTGGGGAGACTTTCACCAGCAACTTTTCTTTATTGAATAAAGTTTACCCTGAAGAATCAAAAGCACAAACTGACCCTAATATATATGAAGCATTTTACTCAGACCATAAGCTGCATAGATATTATGCAAGCCTGAAACGCTACATGGTGTAGCTGAGCACGACTTTCCAAAGAGCAGAAATAAGATGTAGAAATGTGTCTCTATAATCAGTTCTGGAAAAAAAGAATGGATGTCTAACCATGCTTTTTGACAAAATTATAACAAAAATCTTGATAATAGTATAGCATGAAACATCCAGAGATCCATTTATGGCCCATCTAAATAACCACTGGTTTGAAACAAATCAAGACTGAAATTACATAATCTTTGGAAGAAAATGAATGACAAAAGGCCTACTGTGTAGAAAATCCTGGAAGTACAGTAAATGCTACATGTCCTATTAAATATCTAAGCCTAAGTGCCACGCCCACCATCACCATCCAATCCCAGCGCTGCGCGCCAGCCCACGAGATCCACGACCACCGGCCGGCCCCGCCCATAGGACCGAGAGCCTCTGCGCAGAACGGCGCGGTAGCAGCCAATCCACAGCCGAAGGCCCTGTCGGCGCAGAAGCGGCCTGGGCGCTAGGGCCGCCGGGAAGTGTAGTCCTGGGGTCGCAGCGAGGTCAGAGCCCGCACCCGCGGGACGGGTAAGGTAGGTGGATCCAGCTAAGTTGACTGCAGCTTGCGGGGCAGTTACGCTTCGCAGAGGTGGACGGTGTGAGTCTGGGGCCGGCGCCAGAGGCTCCGGAGGCTCTTCGGAAACCGAGCCTGGAGCGAGAAAGCGGTAGACGCGCCCCTGGCGGCGGCGGCAGCACTGGGCCGCCTGGAGGCGTCGGGTTTCCCCCAACAGAGCACGGCCTCCGCAGGGGAAGCCGTCCTCGGTCCAGCACGAGGCCCTCGCGGCGGCCTTACCCATCGAGTTGGGAAACTTCAGTCAACGAACTTTTGTTTGAGTTTCTAGAGAAATATATGCTCATTGAGAAAGTGCATTTAAAGGAAAAAAATAACAGCATCTCACTGACTTGTAGTGTTTAACTGTTAAAGGAGGCTTAACTTTGGAAATGTGTTTTATATCTTTTTTTTTTTTTTTTGGCTGTTGATGGACCATTTATTTTATTTATTTATATGTGAGAATCCAGCCCAGTGCCTCACACGTGCTAGACAAGCGCTCTAACATTGAGCTAGGGTCCCAGCCCCATATCATATATTTTTTAGTTTCATGCATTCGTACCCAGATATCTTAGTGTTTCCATTCCTCTCTATTATTTGCAGTGCACTGATCCTGTCACTATTTCATAGCTCTTACCTACTGTGCTCCCTTCCTTCTTCTCTCTCTCTGTCACATACACACACACACGTTTACACTCACTTGTCTGAACCCTTGCTTGCAGTTCTCTGGCTCTGATTAAATACGGTTCTGATTAAAGTAAAATCCCTGACTACTTGCATCTGTACCCATTCAGTTTAACTGAATTTAGCTGGGAGGGGGAAAAAAAAAAAAAAAAAAAAAAAAACAACACTAAACACACCCACAGTTCTGACTTTAAAGTTTTAGTCTTCTTCCTGATAATATCTTTGTGTGTCACAATAACATTGGCATTTTGGATTTGACCAATAATGTTTCCTTGTGGTTAAATTTACATTATTTTTAGCAGGAATACAAAAATGATGCTGAATTCTTTTTAGTGTATCCTATCAGGAGTTAGTTACTGTGGGTTATTCCCATCTGGCTGTAGTCAGCGTTAGCCACTTGGTTAAGGTAGTACCTCTTGAGTATTCCCTGTGAAATTGTTGTCCTGTCCTTTGCATTTACAAAACTGTCTTTTGGGGAGATACTTTGAGATGATATAAATACCCTGTTAGTTACTTTTCAAATTTCTATGCACAGATTTTAAATATTGGTGCTTCGAATCCGTTATGGTGCTTGTCAAATGTTGATTTTTCTAATTCCATCATTCTGGAATAATGCCATCATTCCTTTATTTGTTAATCAGAATTCTACAGAAATGAAGAGTTTTTCCTCTGCTACACCATGCTTATTAGTTAACTTCCTTATGTCTCTGTGAACTCTTGGACACTTTATTAAATATATTATAATCCTGTAATGATTTGAGAGGGGTAATATACTTATTCCAGGGGAGCCCTTCAAGTTCTTCTGTCCTTTAGCCCATTTCCCTATCATTTTTTGAGAACTTCCTCACTTTTTGCCATCAAGAAGTTCTAGGCTTATTTGATATTTTCTTCATTTCAACCATATAATAAGCTGCTTCCCTGAGGAGTCTTGTGTCCATTATTGGCCTATTGTGTTCAAAAGCCATGATTTAAAGTAACTTAATGATCTTGGGAATATCATTGGTTGTTGATTGTCTTCTGGATGGAGTTAGGAAGTAGATGTACGCGTGTTCATCCATGTACATACATGTGCACATTCAGCATCTGTACCCATTCTTATATCTAGTTATCTGTGTATTAAAGCCCACATGTGTATTAAAGTTTCCATTGACACTTCCAATTTCAACCCAATATCATATGTCTTATTCTACCATTTGCTTTCCCTTTCCCATATTTACAACTTTTTCTCTGACAGATTCCTGGCTTCTATAATATACACTGTGTTATTTCATCAATCTTAGAATGCACAAAAAATAGTTTCAAAATTGCCATTCTATGCAAAGGAAGAAAGTACTGATATTGTTTAACATCATATTTATTTATTTGTTTATTTATTTATACATATTGTGGATTGAACCCAGAGACACTTTACCACTGAGCTACATCCCCAGCCCTTTTTATTTTATTCAACTCCATCCCCAGTCCTATTTATTTATTTATTGAAACAGGGTCTCACCACATTGCTCAGGGCCTTGCTAAGTTGCTGAGGCTGGTCTTGACTTGCAGTCCTCCAGCCTCAGCCTCCTGAGTCATTGGGATTACAGATGTGCACCACTGTGCTCAGCTTTACATGCTTTTAATCACATTAATAAAAGTGTTTCCATGTTGACAGTTACAAGTAGAAGTACATTGATTGTAATTTTGTGCTATCATATGTCATTTAGACACACATCTCATTTTGACCCTACCGGCAAATTATGGTGGGAAAACCTGAAGCTTGTGCCCACACATCCGATTTAAAACCATTACTGAGCATTGGGATAGAACCAGACACAGTGGAATGACATTAACAAGTTGGCAGACTAGGACTCTCTGGGCCCTTGGCTCCATAGAGACATAAAAAATAAAGCAAAACATAATGGGGGACTGGCTAAAATAACTATATAGGAGCTCTGAGATACAGTTAAAAGGTTCATAGCAATCAAGTGAATGCTTTCAATCAAGAAAAAGCCACATTCAATGAATGTAATTCATCACATCAGTAGAATCCCATGATTCTCTCAATAGATGCAGAAAAAGCATTTGATAAAATACAGCATCCATTTTTGCTCAAAACACTAGAAAAACTAGGGAAAGTAGGAACATACCTCAATATTGTAAAAGCTATCTATGTCAAACCCATGGCCAACATTATATACAAGGAGAAAAACTGAAAGCATTCCCTCTAAAAAAACTGGAACAAGACAGGGATGCCCTCTTTCACCACTTCTGTTCAACATAGTCCTTGAAACTGTAGCTAGAGCAATTTTTAAAAAGGATACAAATAGGAAAAAAAGAACCCAAACTCTCCCTGTTTACCAATGACATGATTC